AATACACCACCAATATATCAGTATCTCTCTCTATGTCGTGATGGTACGACAAAGGATGTAGGAATTTCAAAAGTCAATATGTGTCCTGTTGGGATGGCAAAAGCTCCAATATCTTTCCCCGAATTAAAAAGGCATACTCCATCTCTCCCAGGAGGGAGAAGAGGTTTCCCAAAATTTTACAAATTTAGATGAGTTTCATTCTGAGATCAGAAAGATCTTCTATGGAATGGCAGGCAACTACCAAGGATGCATTTGACACTACCAGTTTATAGCTCCAGAAGACTTCTACATATATCAGTCCTTAAATTAACATTTTTTCCTCCGCGATTTTGGGTTTAAACCACAGCCATTACGTGGATCCCAAAGCCACTCCAACCAATGAACAGCCAGGACAAGTCCCGTGCGCAAGTCTTCTCCTCTGCTTCGACCCCAGGCCACCAGTTTATAGCTCAAGAAGACTAGAGGTATTGGTTGCACTTCTATATCCCGTGAATGCAAAAACACCAAGAAGATGAATGTTCATGAAAGTAACATGCCCCGGGGGGGAATAAAGTCCATAGATTAATAATAGTCCATTTATTAATATAAAGCCAGTGTTCATGGTGTTATTTCAATCCTGGGATATAGAGGTGCTAACAGTACGTCTAGTCTGCCGGTACTAAAAAATTATACTAAGGAAATACCTATATAGGGTCTTGCATAAATTATAAATAGGATACATTTAATTTCCTAGCATTTGTGCTGAGCACAAAAACATCATTGTTAATATAATAAAAAAAAATGTACTAACTCACATACATCGACACTTAATAAATTTCAAAGTATTTGAGTGAGTGTCCGTGTGTTTTTCTTCAATTTACTGATGACAATAAGAATTAAATTGTAGAGAATAGAAGATAGATAGACAGACAAACGGACAGTAGACAATCAAATGCAAGTAAAATTAAGTATTCTGTCAATGAAAAGTAATACTGTATATAGTATAAATATGTACATACATTCATACATGCATAGTTATGTACATACATAAGTTATGTATATAAAATTATGTGTGAATATATTTATGAATGTTCAAAGAAAACAACAATAGTAAATATAGTAAAATACCGTTAAATATCAAATTAATGTACAGTGACACCATGCAGTACCAAGTAACAAGTTGATTAAATACGAGAGCAGTTTAAAAAATTACTTAATGTTGTAAATGTGGGACAGTAGGGTAATTTAAGCACTTTTTTTTACTATATTGCTTCACTTTCTTCTACGAGAAGAAGGTTTCAGATTCTCAACCTCAACGGTTAGGTGGTCGCTGCTCAACAGCTGATTGTGTCTCCTATCGCATTCAAAGAAGACTCGTGATTCGATGAACTAATAAATATCGTTTGAATTTATAACGTACTCGAGGTAAACAATATTTTACTTATCTCGAAGAATGGTACCAATAAAAAATCTAATTGACCTAGGCGATTGAGTTAATGCAAATTGTAAACGTCATTTCCACCACCTGGATAACTATCTTGCCGCGATGTGTTGGCTTGAAACTTGACTGTGGATCCTGTCTCTCAAATAGACTCTACACTAGCATTGTCTACGTGGAGACAAGGAACTTAAAAGCCTTCATGACCAAAGGTTATCCATCCCTTCCAAATCCTATGTAAATTTAATATCCCTTCTCTTCCCCCCAACTATCCCATCCCCCACTTGTAACGTTAAGGTGGTTGGTAGCAGTGCCGAGAACCTGAATGGCTAATCAGAAGTAAAAGAAGATTAGTCGTTAACAGCTCCCCTCTGGTGCTACGATACGGGCCGGTTGTAATGTCATAGTCTAGTTTATGTACGCCGTCACTGCATGGATCGTCCTTCCCACTAATATAACCATAACTGTCAGACGACCCTTTTATGAGGTGGTGAAGGATCATCTCCTATTGGCCCTGGCAAACTACAAATGTGATGTCATTAGTCCTGTAGTAACAGAATTGAGTGACATTGAATCCCAATTAACCGAGCTAGTTATGGATCACTTACTCGCAAATAAGTAAAATATTTTACCTCGTTTTGACTCCAGTGAGATTTACAGGGGATACAGGGTTACAGGCAAGTCTAACACCATTTACAGCAGCGTATAAGATCAAACTTTTGACTGTTTAGACTCATCTAACTGACTTCGTAAAATAAATTGAATCTTAGTAAGAAATTAAATTATTACTTCATTTATCCCATCACAGTAAAGAAAGAAGATGTATAATTTAAAAGAAGGAAATTGAAAAGAAAACAAAAGTAAGAAATAAATCTTGATATACATATGAAGGTATAAATTGAATAATTTACCAGTTCATGTTCAAAAATTTATTATATTTTTATATTCACAAATTATTAAATCACACACACACACATACCTTCTGCATACACTTACATTAGATGTGTATAAATCATTAAAATTGTAATTTTTTTCTTTTTCAAAATTTTAGTTATTTATTGAAATATTTCTCGAATATTTTTTTAAACATCTCGTTTAATACACAATAAATGAACAAAATTGTAATTTTTCAATTAATTTTAATTATAAACTTAATTAGGAAACAACAAAAAAAAACTGAAAATAATAAACCGAACTGTTGTTGTATTAAGTAAACTATATAAACAACAACAAAAATGCTCACACGGACACAAACACTAACAAAATCACTACTATATATGTCAATGGCTGCCAGATGTGAAGATTCATTGGCACTTTGGTGATTTTTTTAGTTTTTAAAGGAGATTATTAAACTTAAGGAAGAAGAATGTGACTACAAAAGATATTATAAAATGTAACACATTCTTGAAATTGTTTAGCATCATTTAGTTTAGTTTGTATACAAATTTTGTCCAATTCTCCATACCTGTTTTTGTAACAGTTTAACTTACCGGTAACCAGTTTATCACGAATTGCACTTGAATTGCTTCTATCACGAACATCGTGAAGACTCTTCTATAATTGATTTGATACAATTAAGATAATGCTGATAATAAGATTTAAGTATTTTGGTCAGAACCACGGTATACTTAACAATGTACCAGCACTTGAGAGGAACCGCAGGATTGTAAAATTTTTTTATATGTAGTTTGACAAACGTGCGGTTTAAGCCTATATACAAGTCTATGTATAAAAAATTGTAAACAATGATCAGGTGATAATTAATCAGTAATGTCTAAACTCAGTGAAAAAAACCTCTGAATAGAAAATTATAAAGTAGCAGTTGTTATAACAACAAATCCAACTCTTATACCAGTATTCTTTCTAGACTCTCACCAAAAACTGTAATACTTATACCTTCATTGGTCTGTGAGACCATCAAGCTCTTGTTAAAGTAATTACACAATTTCCAATTGTATTATAAAACTTTCTAATTATATTTCAGAAATTTCCAATTGTATTTCAGAATTTTCCAGTTGTATTTCAGATTTTTCCAATTGTTTTCCAGAAATTTTTAGGTAAAAATGATTTTTGAAACTTTTTGGAACTTACCGATTTATTAATTTTTTCTTAGATATATCCCAAAATTGTCCAAATATGTAAAGGAATAATAATTGTGTTTCTGTAGTATTTGTAAGTATTGAAATACATATGTATAATAGGGTGACTCTAAAAAAAATTATGAAAATCTCCAAAAAAGACCTTTTATTCTTTGATTCAGCTCAACAATTATTGAGGCCAGGATAAAAATTTTGGGAAACAGTATCATAGAATCGGTTAAACTTTAATTTTAATTCAGAATATTGTCACCTTATCTTTCCTTATTACAAACGTACCACCCTAATGTATAATAAACTGTGTGTTTTGTAAATCACGTTAAAAAAAATCACTATTATTAGAAAACTTAAAATTATGACTTATATACATATTGTACGAGTCGCTTCACGAATAGCAGAAACATTTCAGTATATCAGGCCTGTCAGGGAATACCACTGCGGAATTTGATTCTTCAGAAAATGTAAAACAAAAACTTTTATTCCGGAAAGTTTTCAACTTTTAAAGAGGAATATAATTATGTTTTTTCTCGTTGTTTTTTAAGTTTTAACCAAAAAATATTATTTTATTATTTTACCTCCATTTTCACCAAGTTAAGTTGTAATTTAACTTTAAGGTATACTAACAGCTCTCATATAAAAATTGTCTTAACTTAAAGAATAACTACCAGTTAAGCGATAACTGGAGGTGGTGAAAATGGGGGTTAATGGCGCAAATTTTGATTAAATCAAAAGTAGTACTATTGTTTACGCAATTTGACACTTTTCAAACAATTTCAGGCATGAGTTACCGTTATCCGAATGGACTAAAATTTAGGCACTAATGAAGAAAATGGGACCCATCCAAGCAAAATTCTTAATTCTTGGGCATCTCTAATGTACATACCTATTAGAATTCCTAAAATAAAATAATTTTGACTATACCTGTAATGATATTTGACGATGAAACTGACAAAAAATTCATTTGACAACCCTATATGACTTTGATATACAAAATGTAACAGCTGATTTCACAATGTAAGTTATGAGTAAATTACTGTTACTTTTTCTTGAGCGATTTATCACTTCAACCGTCTGGCAACTATGAAGACAACTAGAAATTATATTATTATCATTATTATAATAAAACAAAAACTACAAAAATTATTGGGGAAAAGCGGGCGCTTGTTGCCATCTCTTGTACACTCAATGTTAAAATGAACAAGAGTAAATGAGAAAGAGAGAGTTTGTTCGGTCATTAGCTCATTTTATTAAAGTTCAGTTTGCTAGTGAGCAACAATAATGAAGAAAAACGGAACAAGTAAAAAAATTAAAATTAAGTAAAGCAAAAAAAGAAGAAACGCACACACAACTTTTTCTTAATTACACTTTGCTAGGCGAGCACTTAAAATATATGTATGTATGAATAAAATATAATAAAAGGAAATACAAATTAAAAAAAGAGAAATTATTCTCCAAACAAATAAAAAATATGTATTATTGTATTTTACTTGTCACTGCTGAAACATGTTTTTCGTACACAAATTAAAACAACAAACAATTTTTTTTGCGAATATTCAAGTAAAGAAAGAAACATATAAGCGAGCATAGATTTTTAATATTAAGTATTTCTTTATTATTATTAAGTTCTTTACTTTTTTAAAAACACAGCAATCATAAGTTTTACATTGATTTTTTATTTAACGGCAAATGACAACCGACCGACCGACTGACAAACACCGCACAACAAAGTTTCGTTTCGCACTGGTTTTTGTGCAAGAGCATGGCAGACTAATGAAATTTCGGCACATTATTTTCACTTTACTTTTTGCTTTTTTATTTCTGTTTCTACTTTTTTGTTTTGCTTTGCTTTTGTTCTGCTACACATATGGTGTGTAAATAGATACAAAAAAGCCTAAACACATACAACACTTTTGCCTCAAATGCCAAAAACATGACTGACAGCAACGCAATGATATAAATAAAACGACACAATCATTGCATTACTTTAAAACCGAAGTTTATTTGGACTCGGTCTGAATGGGCAGTTAGAAAATGAAATAGAAATTTCAAATGATTCCCGCAAATGGTGAATTTTTCCTTGTGTGGCAACACTGATTTAAATACTTTACAAGCTTCAGATGTGCAAATTGTACAATTTTTGTACTTTGCGTTAAAGTTTGCAGTAGTGATTGGGTAGAATATCACCTGGAATTCACAATTGAATCAAAAGTGTTGCTTTATAATTAGGCCTTGTTTATTTGTGTTAAATTTTATTTTACATACCGTTTTGTTGTTTTTTTCCTATTTTTACACTCTGCACTTTTTAATAATTATTTAAATCACAAAACAAATAACTAAAAAAACACGCTAAATAAAAGAAACAATAATAAATAAAAATTGCAATACTTTTACTCGTTTTTCAAATCACAGTTTCAATGATATTGAGCACTAAATGTGTGAGCGAATGAGTGAGTGAGTATTAAAAAATAGAGGTTAAATAAAATTACTCACAAAAGTAAAGGTGTGCCAAAAATAGTTGTTATTTATATGTAAAAGTGTTGTCAACTTTTCATGTTAAATATACAATGCAATACAATGTTTACTAATGAAAAAACGCCACAAATTTAATAAAAACAAATACGTTTTTAAATCTTTGATTTCAAACTGATTATGTTGTCAGCTTTTTTTTTGAATTTTTCGATTCTACGAAAATTATTGATAAAATCTTTTATTCGACTTTTTTTATAAGTCGTTTAAACGTTTTTGTTAGGTCCAAATGTTGGTTAACGTGATAGTTTACTGCGCGCGCACAGTCAAGTGGAGTTGAAAAGACTCCGTTTTGACTTAATAGTCCAAATATTTGACAATGTTTTTTTTTTTCGAAAACACAGGCCAAACATTTTTAACTCATAGACCAAAGTATATTTTTCTAAAGAATTGAGCAGCGCTTAAACCGAAACATCAAAATTTATCCATAACATCAGGTTTACCAGATATAGTGTCATAAAGTTAAACAATTTTTTGGTCATTTTTGAGACGCTATAAAAGGGCTGTGTCATCTGCAAAACGCTATTGAAAGTTCTCTATTTCCCCCATATGTTCACATGAGTTCTTAGTGCATATGAATTTTTCTATTTAATTTGTAAGAGAGGTGTCCCGAACCTAATTCTAGTGCGCCACTTTACTACTCAAGTGTTCACATGGATATCAACGTTCTTCGTGCAAAATTTTAGAATTCTAACTCTAATAGTTTCCCACACATGTAAATTTGGGATTCATATGGGAGGTACCACACCACCTATTGCCCAATTTACTGCACAAATGTCAACATGGATGTCAAAGTTATTCCTGCAAAATTTGGGGATTCTAGCACCAATAGATTCCCAGATATAATTTTTGTTTTTAATTCACATGGGAGGTGCCACAACCCCTATTGCTAGTCCGGCCATTATCCCTTAAATTGTTCATATGGAGTTTAGTGTTGCTTGTGCTAAATCAACATTTCGAAATACTGAAAATGATTTTGACGTTTTCAATCAAAAGTCATATGTATAAAAGTCGCACCACTGACAACATTTTTCTACAGCTGTGGCAATCCTGCGGCTAACCTTGTAACAACTCTGTTTTTGAACAACAATAAAAAACGAAACATGTGTTTTTGTTGTTGGAAAACGCGGTATCAGTATTAAAAAATATTTGTCATCGATTGTAAAATATTTTTTTACGAATTTTCTTAAAAAATACACACAAAATTAGCTATGAAATTCGTTATAGAACATTTAAGTAAAACCTCTGGACGTTTAGGACATTTGGTGCAGCAGGAAAGTGGAAAACAATTCAAAACTCCGCTATTAGTGCAAGTTACAAAGGTAAACAAATGTTAATACATTCAAGAAAATTAGCCGGGAATAAGTTTTAAATAATATTATTTAACTACAGGGTGGCAGTATACCCTACCTCAGTCGTGATGTATTTGACCATGTCACCCAAGAGCAACAAGTGCTACAAATGTCTTTGGCTACTATGGATCATATGAAAGAAGCCTTGACTCACTTCAAAGGTGGTGGTTTGTCCGGTTTTGTAGGCTACAAAGATTATCCTACCTTCCTGACCATAAGAGATCCTTGCGAATTAATTCCAGGAGGTTTTAATGAAAAAGATATTGTACCTTTGTTTACACGTCGTGGCAAAGAGCCTCTAACGGTGCAAAAGTTTGTTAGTCTAGTGGAGGCATTTAAACCTGACATTTATCAAGGTCTCTGCGATGCTGACACCAATTTTGAGAGTGCTAAGAAAAGAATACAAAAGTCGGTGGATCGTACTGAAGCATTTATGGAAGCCTGTTATGAACACCACAATAATTCAGAGACTTTAAAAAAGAGCTGTCTATTTGCTCCCATTGTAGGTGGCTACAATACTTTTAATCGTTCACAATCTATTAAACATGCCAAAGCGAAAGGTGCCGCCATGACAGGAGGTTATATTTTTGAAGGTTTCCATAGTTATGGTTTGTCTGCTACGGAGGTAAAGAGTGAACAAATTATGCCTATTATGAGTCATTGCCTTAAGGAATTGGATATGGATAAACCTTTTATGCTGCCTGGTGCTTTTACTCCCGTGATTATGTTAAAATTGATTCAATTAGGAGTTGATATATTCGATTCTTCATATGCCTATTGTGCTGCCGCTAATTTTAAAGTTTTATCTTTTAATTTTGATTTGAGCAAGAAGACAACGACGGAAACACCATTTATAGATGTGACGGATGAGTGGTAAGTTCTGGAAAAGTTTCTTATTCATATTTTATCATACAAATATAATTCATGTCTTAAGACAAATTGTATCATAATATTCAGGTCGGGGTTGATTGTAACCAAATAATTGATAAAAGTTGCTTAATTGTTCCAAAAAGTTTTCCCAATCTTGATAATTTCAAACAAGTTTTAATAGACTCCATCACCACATTTCCATTAGTTTAATTTAAATAAATAAAATATACTTTAAAAAAACCCACACATATTTTAGCTTAAAAGAAGATTTTAATCCACTACTAAAGGACTGCTCTTGTTTGGCTTGTCAGAAACATACAAGAGCTTATATAAATCATCTATATAAAACCTCTGAACTTTTAGGACCCATATTAATAATGATGTAAGTATCTATAAAAAACATAATAAATATTTCTAAAATTAATTAAAATTGTATCTCTTGCAGCCACAACTTACATCATCTAATGCAATTCTTTAACACAATACACAACTGCATATCAAATGACAATCTTAATGAATTAATAGAATTGATTGAAAAACAAGGTGGTGATAAACCTGTAGAGTATCGCATCGAAGCCAATACTAAAGTTATTAGTAGAGCAGGTTTAGGCAAAGGTTTTGCTGATGCCAAAGTATAATAATAGGTGAAAAACTTTTAAGCTATTAATGACTATAATGTATATTTATTTTACTTTTGTATTTTAATATTATTTTTATAATAAATGTACATTAAGCTAAATATCTTATTTTTTAAAATATTTGTAAATCTTTGTATAAAACTGATTAGTTTTTATTATGCGAAATGTTTATAAATCGTTTTATAAACTTTGCCACTTTCTGATGTTATTTTTCCAATAACATCCTCCTCCGTTAGAGAGTCGTAAAGTTCTTGCACTAAAAGGGGAAGGAATGTTAAAAATTTTTTTTAATTAGTTTTCTGTGAAAAATCACTTACCTCCTATAGGAACATAACCCGCTAATTCACAAAATCCTATATTTATTGTATTAAATTGTTTTACAATACAAAACTCTTCTCTAGCGAAAACAAAGATTTTTAATTTTTTATCTTCTGCCACTGGTGTCATGAAAATATTGTGTGGCATATTGTTATCGCATAACCACATTATAAATTTGAAGAGTTGGTGTAATTTCAATTCAATTTTAGTTTTTGAATCATTAGTATCGATGATAAAACAAATGGCCTGTGTTGGCATATTTGCATCCAAACGATAGATATCCGGCTCAGAGAGAGGTTGTAGTTTCTGTAGAAAATCATATGTAATTGAGTTTTGAGATAAATATTTCAGAATTATAATCTTCCATAACTTACCACACTATCTATATACAATTCCTTTTCGATTAACATTAAATGCAGATGTAAATGATTAACTGAGGCCAATGCTCCCGGACTATTATAGCCAATACGAAAATAACGATTTCCCTCTAAAGATAGTAAAAAATCAACACAAAATCTTAACGCATCCAAGGTAATACGTTGTGGTAAACCCTTCTCTACATTCGGACATATTAAGGTGTGATATTTTGTTAATGGACTATTATTAATGATAAACGATATTTCCGTTTCCTCCTCAAATTTTAGTTTCATTATGATTTCGGCTGCAGCAACTTTTTTGAAATTGAATTTTTCTTCATTGAATTGTGGATTCATCGAGAGTATAGTTTGTGGTGGTCTTCGTAAGGCGATACGTTGGGGATTAAACTAGAAATATGTGTGTTAAATGTTTTTAGATTATTAATTGGTAAATTTGTCTGTCCGTTACTTTACTTACCTCTGAATAAAATTGATATTTTCCCGGCAAATATTTGCTTTGTGTTATTTCCAATTTATAGGCAAATACATTGGGCATAAGTTGCAGTTGTTGCCATTTTTGTAATCATTCATTTAGGAAAAGATTTGCTGGTTTTTTAAGGGACATTGTGTGTTTTAGTGAAGTAACGCGAAAAAAACGAAACAAAAAAATAAGTAAATAACGTCATAGTAAAAATATAAAACAGCTGTTTATTTGTTTACAACTGTGTTGTCCAACCAGAGGTACTTTTCGTTAGGATTGTTTTTTTTTAACTTAGTTTCAAAAGAATATTTTCAGACTGTTTTCGACATTTGATTTTCTCAATAAAAACCAAAGTTAGAAACCTGCGAAGAAGAAGTCGTCCTAATTATACATTTACGTGTATGTCAAAGATCAATGTTTTAATGAAAACATAACCTAGAGGCGCTAGAGTGTGAGAGATATTATAATATTTTATCGTCATCCAGACTACAACCCTAGTTTCCAGGCGGAAGGGTATTTTCAACCCATAAGGTTAAGGCTGAGTCCTATTCATAATAAAAAACAAACTACTACTTTGTTCTCCTTTTTCATTACGAATAAGGTCGGAAATTTATCTTCCAAATGTTAATCTCAGTAAAATCCTTTAAATCGTGCAGTAAGTTGACATCTAGCGAGCTAAACCTAAATGTTCCTATAGCCGAACAGTGAAAGGGAAAGTGGGTGACATCCTATTCTTCCTCTTTGTCAGCTTCAGCAAAAGTCTTTTCTAGGGAGATAAAATCTTCTAGGATGAAGCTCATAAGGCTAGTGGTCTTCTGTACACACTACAATAACTTTGCTTTCGAAAAGTTTAACAAGTTTTGAGATCATAGGGGGTTGCAAATTGGATTCTGTTCGGAATCGAGCTAATGTACATTGTGAGGGGTGTGCCAACAGAATTATTCGTCTCCTATCTTGCTAGCGAAGTACCACTTCTTGTTATGTTTCTATTGATGACCCGAAATACAAAAAGCCTCTCATAGAATGATGCGTTAATAGATGTCCGGTAATAAATTACCACGTTTGATATCGTGTCACCGTTGATAACCTTTAGGGCTGCTTAGCTGTCATCATATATTAGAATATATTTCCCCTTGATCTCGGCATTCTGTTATCATGGTCCACGGAAAACGGTCTGGGAGCCAAAAGTGCCAAAACCGAACTGGTTCTTTTCACCAGGAGGTACAAAATCTCAAAATTCAGACCTCCACTATTGGATGATATCATTCTGAATAACTCCAGCGAAGTATCTTGGCGTAATTTAAGCTCTCAGGGAAACGTAATGTTGAGAGTAGAATATGTTGGAAAACCTTTGGAAAAAGATGTGGTCTTAAACCATACATTGTCCACTGGATGTACACCGCGGTCATCAGGCCTATTTTAAACTACAGCTCTCTATTTTAAACACCACTCTATTTTAAACAAAGTACAAAGATTACCATGTCTTGCAATCACTGGTTCTATGAGCTCCACCCCTCAGGCCAGTCTAGAGACTATGCTAAATATAACTCCCCCTTGATATATACATCAAATGCATTTCTGCTAAATCTGCTCTACGACTTAAACAGTCGAACGGACTGAAACATGATCGTATTGGTCACGGCACCATCCTACAAAAGATAGAAAGGTCAATTATGGGGCAGAGAACACTGAATTTTATTAGGCCGCAAACACTGTCCTAAGCGATGACATGATCACAATCTACATCGATGGTTCAAAAACGGAAAGAAACACGTTCTATGGAATTTTATAAAAAAAAACTTGATCTTCTGTTGTCTCTTCGACTACCTACAACCTGTACGGTCTTTCAGGTAGAGATATATGCCATCGTTACAGCTGCGAGAAGACCCCGGAAACTAAATCTAGAAAATTCGTCTATACACATCTACTTGGACAGCCTTGCATCAATCAAGGCTCTCAACTCCAACGTTATTAAGTCGAAATGTCACCTCAATTGTATCCTATAACTGGCACAACATCACGTTGAGTTGATATGAGTCCAAGGACATATCTAGGGTTGCCAGATTCCGATTCGCAAAAAGCTGGACATTGGATTTTAAAAAGCTGGACAAAACAAAAAAAATACTGAGAAAATGTTAATTTGGGTTTGTGTAAATAATTTCACAATGATACACCAAAAAAATGCAGGGGTTCTCATATACCAATTCCGTTTTGTTATAGTCCATAGAGTAAGAATATATTTTTAGTTTTCCCCGATCACTTCGTTAACTTAGTTTTTAAGAGGAAAAGATGTGAAAAGCGCCATTTTTGAAGTTTTAAATTTAAAAAATCATAAGTACTTAAGATGTTGAAATTGACTATCGCTCGCAATAATAGGTCTTTTCGCGTACTTTCCTGTAAGAAATATCCAGTAACTTAATGATAGAGAGTAATTTTTAATTTATTCTCAATCAAATAAAATATCCAAAAAAGTACGCGAAAGCCAATTTTTTAAAAAAAATTTCCAAGTTTTTGTTTATAAACAAAGATTTTGCTGAAATCTCAATCGCTAACATAACACTAAAAAACAAATAATTGAAACTTTGATTTTTTTCCTATAAATAAATGAATATTTAAAGTTAACAAAACATGCAGTATCATTACAAATATATTATTGTTTTAAAACTTCATGATACTAACATATTATTAAAATAAAAATTTACAAAAATCGCTAAGAGAAAGACAAACTAAATTGTTTTAAAAACGCTAGATTGACAATATTTGATATGATTTTTCACAACAAATAAACTCTTTTAAAAACTAATTTATGATAAATAAACTTAAAATAAATCTAATTACAAATAATTTTTTAATATTCCTGTGTTATTAATTTATATATTTCTTTCAAAAAATTTAAAATTTACCAAATTTTCGATTTCTTTGGTTTGTTTACATATTCAAAAATCAAACATATGTTGTGAATATATGTTGGATATTTTTTACTGGGGAAAAAATTTCCAGTAAAATCAAAAAATTCTCTATCACGAACTGTCATTTTTATCGCTCTCTTGCTCTCTCGTTGCAAGTTTTCAAAAGTACGCGAACGGAATCCAATAACAATTGTTGCAAATTGTTATAAATTATCGAGTACGCGAACAGACCTAATATTTATTACGACATCAGCTGTTCAAGTGTTGAGGCATGTTGTCATTGATGATAGAAGAGGGAAATCATAACTTAGTTGTATACAAATTATTATAAAAATTATTGCAGTGTACTAAAAAATTTGTATTTAGCTGGACAAATTAAATTTTAGCTTGAAACTGGACAAGCATCAAAAAAGCTGGACAATCCAGCCAAATCCAGCCAGGCTGGCAACCCTAGACATATCTGAGCAACCAAAGGATCGTCCCTAGACTTAATTATTGCGCAAAGGGATATTTACACTCCCCTGGTGACCCTATCAAAATTGATAGATGACTGGGCTTTGGGTGAGTCGAAACTCAGGTGGTCAAATATCACCACTTGCAGAATATCGAGACTGCTCTGGCCCACTCTGACAAAGGATAGAACTAGGACTCTCTTGTCTTTTAGTAAGAACTCTATTAGGCTTCTCACGTGTATAATTACTGGGCACTGTATGATTGGACATATGTATGTCGGAACGAAAGGCTACCCATGTTATAACTACTGTAGACGTTATTTGGACGAGGAAGAAGAGGAATCGGCACAACACCTATGTGAATGCCCAGCATTGCATGATCTGGACTGTCTCAGAGTTCCGTCAATAGTAAATATGATCGGATTTATTAGGCTTTCCGGCAGGTTTTCACAGAGAACACAGGAACCACATTGTCAGCGAAATCAGGGAGGGAAGTCAATGTATAAACTCTCAACATATGGAATGGCAATTCCAAGGGTACAAGGCCTCCGAGTAAACTCGCTAACTAGCGAGCACGCCACGGAATATAACCTAACTTACAAAGGCAGGATAACTTTAAATAACTTACGATGGGTAGCTTTATTACAAGGAAGTTACTATTAAAGGCAGGAAACTCGAAGAAGTGGATAGCGGAAATTTTAAGGAGTAGAATCTGAGGATTCAGTGCATTTGGCGGGAATATTAACACATTGTAACATTATCTCTGCCATTACAAATCCTTAGTCGAAATTAAATCCAAACATCTTGAGAGCATGTTATGAAGGACATATTGAAAAACAACTTGTCGAACAAAATTATTATTTTTTTATTACCACTCTTTTTACATATTTACAACAAAAATAAAATGATGAAATGATTTAAATAGTAATGATTCGATAACATGAATATAAACGACACCAACAAAAAAACAAAAACTTTCAAATTTCATCGTTATATACCACAATTTAAGCATGTATCAAAAATCCATGGGCATCGGCGTGGGCATGATGATCGAAATGTTGTTCTTCTACGATCTTCTTTTTAGGAGTGTAAGGATTGTGTTCTGGATCAGCGTTTAAACTGAAATTAAGATATTCATATTTTAAATTTAAGGAGAATACTCTTTGCGATTTTATTAAACTTACTGATAATAATTGACTGCCTCCTCACACTTTACATTGTACCACCAGTCACAAGCGAATTCCTTCTGATTGAAAATAGTACCATTGGTACATAAGAATGATGCGCCTTGATGTCCTTCACGTCCATCGTGACAGACATGATAGGCTTGACATCCCGTCTCGACATTAGCATACATTCCAGGTGTGGCCGGTACATGAGCACAGGAGAAAGAAGTGTGTGGTACTTCATGATAGACAGGATAGTCTACACCGGGAACACCGGGTATTTTATTCAAATCTTGTTTTTCTTGCTTATGATGATGTTCTTCTGTTGGTGGATGGAAAAGATGGCCATAGGTCTAAAAAAGAAAATAGAGATTGTAAACTTAGTTGTTGGTATTTTTATGAATTAAGTGCAAATTTCTGTTAACATCATGTTAATTTTCTACATTCATGTTACATCGTTATTATAATTGTTATTTATTTAATATTTTCTATTACAATATGTTAGTTTTTTTTAATAATTTTTTTCTTTGCATGACTGATTTTAAGTTTTAAAGGCATTTTTTTTTTGCTTTCAAAACTTGCAATGTTTTAAGATTGATATTTAGAAAACATGTTTTAATTTTAATCAATACAATGTGTAATATTTAGTTTTATATTTCCATTGATTGATCAATATTTCCGCTGATATTTGTCAGTAATAGAAAAATTAGTTTAACTCAAATAAAATACAATTGTCCCATTCACTGTCGATGTCGTATCGTTGTATGTTGAACATATTTCTCTTTCAGTACAACGCCTGACTTTAATCCTAAAACGATAACAGTTTACGACATTAATGTGGGTAAGAAGTAAAATTTATTCCGCTGTATGTATGGTTTCTATGTTTAGAGCTTCTTACCTATAAGGAATCATGTCAACAAATTTTTAACCCAGAAATTTGACAGTTTCGACTTTCAGACGCACTGTTATAACGTTTCAATTATGGATATAATAGGAAATTTTTCAATATACAGATCACGATATTCAAAATACCAGATAAGAAAGAGAAATTCTGAGGTCAGATTCGGAATAAACGTGTTAGTTTGACCTCTAAACTCTCGTGAAAATGTAGAGTCGAGAGTTCAATAAGTGACGTATTCAGGAGTACATAAGACCCATTTCGATATATGATTCACTTGCTTGAAAGAAAACATATATATGACAATACCTGCCATATATAAAATGCTTTTATGGGACTGGGGTTGTTAAAATCATTGAAACATAGTCATACTTAAGTCTACTGTATATTTTGACATCACTACCTTCGACAGGATCTTTTAAATCAAAATGCCAACAAGGGAATGCTGGGTTGAAAAAACCGTACGTTGCAATATCAATCTATACTGAGGGTTAAAAAATGTTAACGGGTACTAGCATGGGAACTAAAAATCGATCATCTTGGTCTCAATCAGATTGCCTAACGTCTGCATCGTTTTCTTTAGATAAGGTAGCGAGAAGAATCAGCAAATTAAATATCGTGTCGCCGACCATAAATTGCGTTATAAACGTTTTCTCGGGAATTTCATCAGGTAGCCGACATCGTTTTCCTAAATAAGCGAATTAAATCTCGAGTCGCTGGCCATAAATATAAAGTCTTATAATTGTCGCGTTTATATGGGTTTCCGGGAGAAACTGTATTACAAAAATATATTTATATTCTCCTGGCTGCGGTATCAACGAATGGGACCTTCGGTAGTCCACTTACTACTTAATATCAAATCTATTTTAAGCGGCACGTCCATCTTTCGACATCTAAAATTATCGTCAAGATACATTCAATAATAAAATTGAATACTTTGTAGTAGTTCTTGAAGTGTGTATCGTTTCATGAACAAATGGCATAGACTAACACCGAGAATTTTGAATGAATTTTGAAATGAATTTCAGTCCTTTTCAGAAATGTAATCAAACTGTTCTTTACTGATCCTCCCACTCTACATGTTGACAAACTATGATAATTTGGTACAAGGGTTTCTATTCTAATTTGTTGTAACAGTTCAGTGCTATCGTTGGTAGTAATTCCGACTAAGTATGTTGACAATTTTTGGCCAATTGGGAATCGAGTCATTCCTCGACAACGATGTAATTATCGTGGAAACGTAATCAAATTTGTTACAAGTAACTGTTGGTTATCGGATGAACTGCTGGATTCACAAGATTGCCCAATTTAGGCAGTGTTCTTGTTAAATTGTCCTTTATAATATAATTCGCATTAATTTGATTACGAAATGAAATATCATGCGATCTAATAGCAGTCTTCCAGAAACGGTTGATTCTCAGTTTGAACTTTTGTTTAGACCAGAGACTGTGGAATATGTCTTATATATAACAGCATCAGAATTTCTAACAAATGTAGTGTCTTGAATATAGAAATCTGTGATGGGTACCAGGACACTGCAATGCCTAATGAAATGAGGTAACCGACGAATTGGCAAGACATGGCTGGAACCTTGATCTAAATGGAAGAGCGAGAAGGAAATCTTCGAAAGATTCGGGGTCATCACTAACCAGTCTTGGAATAGCATAATGGATTGTAATATATCTAAGGCTTATGTCCAAGACTTGATGAAAAGGTAAACAGGATACTTATTGGACTGGATAGAAGTAGTCATTCTTTTATTATGCTATCTAGTCTCTTGCCATAGTAGCCCCGTTGGGGAATGACAGACAGCATGACCCATTCTAATGACCCATTCCAGTGCTTTTCTTAACCTTTTGAAGCCCGCGCAACCACACTACTGAGATGGCCCTGTTGATTCGGCAGCAGCACCTAGAGATATATTTGGTAGTCTGAAATACCCAGCCAATAAATCAGGATCCCTCTGTATATCAGATAATGTGACAAAGGATGTAGGAATTTCCAAAGTCAATTTTAACACAATTTGAGTGGCAGGTCTCAACCAAAAGTCGCGTAGCATAAAACAACTGAGAACTTCTCTGAAGTAAAAGGTCTACTAAATCAGTACTAGTCTACTGTCGGACATAGGAGTCTTTCCCGATAGTTCATCAACTTACATCAGTTCCATTCTCAGACTATAAAGAACGATCTACGGATTGACAGGCAACTACCAAGTGTCAGTATGCGGACAGTATGACATCTGTTGAGGTGGCAACAGCACCGGAGAGAGAATCCAGACATATTTGGCATTTGGATATATCAGTTCTTAAACCAACATTCTCTCCCCGCGAACTACGTGGATCCCGAAGGAACCTTAACAAACTGACACTGGCCTGCGGGCAACTGACCACCCGTAGTGCCAGATTATATGGTGCTCTGGTTCGACCCCTTGTCAAATCATTCCAAGGAAAGGCCGAGGATACATTTGATCATCACCAGTTTTTAGTCCCGGCAGACTAGAGGCTTTTAGTAGCATCACCAAGATGGAGATTTCACCAAAGTAACATGCTCCCGAGGGAAACTTGTGCAGACAATGCAATGATGTTGAGTAGCTACAGAAGATTGAGCTCGTAATCTACTATGGTCCTAAATTCAAACCAAAATGTCAGGGAAATTAGCCATTCTTTCGGATCTTCTATCACAATTCTTTCTTATTCTGAATTCGATTCTACTTAGTCTTTTGGATAATGTATCTGATTTATATTCCGGTATAAAAGTCTAAGGATTGGGATAGGGTTATTAGCAAACGTTATATTACTATATCAGACTTCTGCCAGCAATGCGAGGATGTTGTGGAGCTAGAAATAATTTAACACATGCTTTGCCATGGTCCTAAATTCAGACAAAAATTGTTAGGAAATTGACTCCACGCCGACCTGGGAAGTATTGCTGGGAGGCTAATCTTCTATCACAATTCTTTCATGTTCTGAATGCAGTTCTTCTCATAATTTTGGAGAATGTTCTAGTATAATATGCCAAACAAATAATCATAATCCACGGAGTGTGCTTAAATCTACAATCACCGACTAGATTGACAGCTCTGAATTGTGACACCACTAGACCGTACAACCAGACAATCTCACCAATGAAAATTGGATCTTCGCTCCAAAACGACACGAGTTATACTCAGCCAAATATTGTCAACCCAGCGACAGCTGTATCAACCGAAAGATTTTTCCCCAGAAAAGAACTATTGGCCACAGTCGAACTGTTACAACAACAACCAATGAGAAACCGCCAAAATAGGGCATCTAATGAATCATCAAGAAATCAATGTCTGATTAAATACTATTAATCAAAATAAGATTAATTTTAAATATTAAAAAAATCAATCTAAATTTATCCTACGAACTCTGTATCCGATTAAAAATTAAACTTTTAACAACTCTGTTTGAATATAGGACGTCAAAGTTTATCACTAATATTTCCTAATTTCAAAAATTCCTCAAGTATTCTGATTTCTTTATGAATTCTGCATAAATTGGACGACTGAATAAAATTGCAAACCAAATTAAAACACATGAATTTAAAAATTTGGATTAGTAAGACAACTTTAGTTGGGCAAAAAAAAGTAATAATAAAATGTATAACCACTTTTTAGCCCAATTATACATAAAAACCCAAAATATACAAACAACAAATTTAATGTTTTTTTTTAGAAAAAAAAAAAATGTAACAAATGAACCGGTTGGGAGAGTTAAAGTGAATATAACAGACATTAACTGATTTCATGTTTAAAATTTTAAAAGCTTTTCAAAATGGAGTTTTCAAACTGTGAGTACAAAAAACTGATTTTACTGTCTTAAAAACAATTATATATTAAAATATAGTTAAAACATTAGACAATAATAACAACAACAATATTGGCAAAACAACAATTATAAAACCATATAAGTCAGAAATTTTATAAATCAATAATTTATAGGTCAAAAGTGAATGTTAAACCGAAACCGAAAAAAAGCGGTATTTGAAATGTTTGAAATTAGTATAATGACTATAATTGCATATGGCCAACGACAACACGGTGATAATATAAATATAAATTTAAATTATTATTTAATTTAAATTATGATTAAAACATAAATTTTATAATTTCTTTAAATATAATAAAGATGAGCATAAATCATTTAAGACTCACCTGAACTTCTATGGCAAAAACGGCATAAGCCATTAAACAAAATGAAAGACAAATTGTGATCAGGAAACGTTGTTGCGACAACTGCCTCATCATTATTAGTTTCTGGGTTATTGATGATAATAATCAGTAACAGATGATGATGATTTTAACACTTTAGTAAAAGAATAATAAGAAATATTTAAAATAAAATTTAAATTGTTTACTTTTTTGACATTTGATAAATGATTTCAATTTTTAAACATATCTTGACAATTATATGTACAAAATACTATATAGTA